AAAAAAACTCAATACACATATTAAATTTGATTAAACATATTCGTATAGTAATTACGAAAGTTTATTTAAAGCGATGTTTTAGACGTATATTATTTTATTTGAAAAGGCTGCTTTTGTACTGTTAAATTTTTGGGCACGTAGTGGGAATTGTGTCTGTCTAGGCATGTTTCGATATTTTTTTACGATTCTTATTTGCAAGTTTTCAAATTCCCAATTTTTTATTTATCTTTTCTTAATAAATGGTAACGTGTTAATTTGTCAATGAGATAAATTGCACTCGATCATGGAGTTCTTCAACAAATATTCTGGGAATGGTGTTGGATTGTTTAATTTTTTTATGTTAACAAAAATTGAAATACTGAATTAATCAGTTTTTGAATCGCATGCTTAAATAGGTTCATTCTACATCTAAATTATAGTGTAATATTTTAATATAGTTTTCTTCTACGTATTCGTTATTATGAACGAAAACTGAAAAATAGGTAAGTTTCATCAACTTTCTTTAGCGTTGGTTGTTTTATAGAGTTTATTTTTTGTAAACTTTATTAAGGCTAAAAACAAACAAAAAAAATCCAGCAAGAATTAAATAATATAGTGACGAGTTTTTTTCTTCTTCTTTATTGATTGTCACTTTTAAATATTACTTTCAATTAACAGAGCGTTGTCTGTGAATTTGGTAAACTTAAAGGCTGGTTTTATGACAACGATAAATAATAACGGAGTATACATTTGTGTAAAATATACTTCAATGTTATTGACTTCATGCTTCCGTTCTTTAAAAATAAGTAGATCGATACTATTCTCTTATCGGTCTTTAATATAATACATGTAATGTTGTGATATTTGTGGCAAATTCTGCCAGATTTGTTATGCAGCTTGCATGTTTTTACTGAGAAAGGTTGAGACCAAGGTCGTTCTTTACACGTTATGACAGAGCGGAACAAGTTACCTGGAGCAGTGCTCAACTGCACATGCGCATTAGTACTTGCATCTGTGGAAGTAAACAAATCCTTAACGCGTGTAAGTCTGGAAGACAAGTAGCACGAATATTAACTGCGTGTGGTATGATAACCTTATTGTTTCCTCCGTAAAAATAGGACATTATTAGAACACTTTCAAACGTTTGGTTGTACTTGTAGTTAAAGTTATACACTTGACATGAAGTACAATTGTATGTTTTAATTTTAAGGTAAGCATGCTGTAAATTATTGACTGAAGATTTAAATAATAATAATAATAATGTGTTTGTATATATATATTATCATTATTTGTTTTTATTTTATAATAGGTTGAAATTAAAAGCCAAAACAATACCTTTTTATACTATAGTTCATAATTACATTTTTATTGTTCACCAAGATTTCGTTTTTTCATACTAACATTGAAACGTTTTATAATCAGATACTATTTATTCAAGGTGTTGTGGCAGCGTCTGCAAATATATGAAGTGTACTTTTGCGGCTCCGTCAAGACCTTTGTTTGGATTTGACACTATGATTCATAAGGTAAGTTTTCAGGTGTTGATTTTTAGTTGAATGAGTTGTCATATCACAGGTACAGATTTTTTTAAACTTATGTTTTAGCTAAGCCTTCAAGTTTAATATCTTAAGGAAGTGATAAACAGTTTTTGAAATAACGTATCTGTAGTGATGAACATTACTTACCACACTATCTTTTGTAATAAACCTAAAAATTTTGTACAATTTTCGGTGAGCTTGGTAAAAATGATGTGCAAGTGGAGTACTCTTCTATATTAGGTTATACCATACATTTGGTAAATAACCTAAATGCACGAGTGTAACTAACCTAACTGTACTTGTGTGTAACTGATATCGTGGATACTTGCGTTTATTTTGCAAACAAGTACAACTTGTAAAATTATAATTCTCTCGGAACAAGGCCCTGGTGTCTGTGCACATGCTCAAATATATTTTAATTCTAGCTCCATGATAGCATTAGCATTAAGATACTTGTAATAATATTATGCACTTGATTCAGCTAGTTATGAAACGTAGCTGCATCATGTTGGTTTCTAGTGTATTAGGGTATGATTTTTGTGCATCAAAATACATGTTTATTCATACAAAATTCAATAGTTTTAATGTAGACTCAGAACTTTACTATTGAAAAGGTTTCTTTATGATACTAGATATTTGTTCTTAAGATAATGTTTCAAGTGTACTTATAACGTAGGACCTTGAAGAGAGTAAAGAAGAGGAATTGGACAGTTTGCTGCATTTAGTGAAAGCTTGCTTCATCAACAGTAACTTAATAGTCCACCCAAAAACATTTGGAATCCCACTGACAAAGTTAATGAGAATTTGTGATTTTATCAAGAAGAGAGGTAATTACTTACATCATCAGGGTATTATAAAAACAAAATAAAATGACTTGTTCAAATGAGTGATCCCAAGAGGAAGGAAAATATTTTACCTCATCAAATGTACCATAATGTGACATGCTGTTTTATCTTACCCTATACATGGAACTTTACCATCAGTTGTTAAAATAATAAAATATTACAAAAATAACCCAATCTGTTGGATTGCACAGAAAAAATATATTTTACTGATTAGTAACTTTCCCCCTGAAAATAGTATGATTCTTTTGAAAAGGTTACAATGAAATGTTTTAGTAGAAGACCATTTCTGCTTCTTGATCATTTTTATTTTCATTAACATCATATATGAAGTTTGTTAATATTTTTCTATATCATGCAATGAAATAACTTTGACAAGAATCCTTTTAGCCATGGTGTCTAACCAGAAAAAAAGAGATTATAATATCATAATGCTAATGTAATATCATTTGTATAGTATAAGTCCCAAATATTATGATATAGAAGTTTTTTTTTTCATCTAAACAATACAGCTGTGACCCAATTAGATCTGGTTCAAAACTGTGGAAATTCACATCTAATGAAATGCATGAGGATGTCCTTCAGTGAAACTGGTGATGCTCCATGGAAGGCTGAATGTGATGTGGTAACCGCCACGATGTTGTTGGAAATGATTCTGCGAGAACTGCCTGACCCAATTGTTCCTAAGGAAATTTGTCCAGCTTATGTTAATGCAGTTCAAGGTAGCAAAATGGTAATCTTTGTAGTATAAGAAAATTGTGATGGGACATTGTGATTGAAGGGAATAAAAATTACTGCTGTTTTATTGAAGTTTTGAGATATTTTGTGTGTAAGAATCATCTAACCTCGTGGCTAAATAAACCACATCTAAATTACAATTACTCTGTTTTATTAGTAATTTGATTTTGTAAAAAATATTTTATTATTTTGTTACAATGGTATTGTTCTTGTAAATGTAAAACTTCAGTACAAACAATTTATTTAGTAATATGATTGCTAATTAATGCGTGGTTGAATAAAACTTGTTTTTGGTGTATTTAATAGATATACAGAGAGACAAGGAAGGCTGCATTTTGAAGTTGAAATGTCTAGTAGAAAAGTTGCCATTAGAAAATTTTAATACTTTGAAATTTATTGCTCAGTTCATTGATCATTTGGGTCAACAAAACAGTGGAAACAGAGTGACTACAATCATGGGGTTTTTGGGACTGGAAATATTCAGGTAGGAAATGGTAGTTAAGATTCAATAAAATGTTAAAAATAACACACACACACACACACACACACACACACACACCACACACTAGACATTATGATAAAACATTTCAATTAATTTGCTGTAGTTCATGATATAAGTACAACATTTTTGTTGTTTAACATGGACAGTTACTAAGTAAGTTCTTTTCTTTTCCTTGGTCTTTTCTAACTGATGTTGCTTTACAGAGAACATTATCATAGTTTTTTTGGTTGCTCGTCAGGCTATGAACCCTTTAAAAATATCCAAGTGTATAAGGTCTTTTAAGCAAGTGATAAACAGTAGTAGTGTAAAAGAAAATGAAACCTCTATTTAAATTTTGTAAATAAATAGTTATTTCCCTCATGAAATGCCTCTAATTTCTTTGAAGTTGATATTAAACTATGCTATGAAATTCTGGCACCTTTCTCTGAAGCTGCTTTATTTTATTATTATAGAGGCTGAGAAGTACAAAAGGTTTGCTCTTTAAAGAATGGTTAGAAATGTAGTACAATAGGCTAAATTTGACTTCAACTTTTAGTAATTTGTGTAACCAAAATTTTCTTTTGATGTTATACTTAATTATCATTCTAAATTATCTGTTCAGATAGTGAACTTGTAACTAGCCTGATGGTTTGAGATAGTCTTGACAAGAGTAGGCACATGGTTTAAAAAAAATGTGATTTTTTTTTTTAATTATAGATTGGCTGATGAAGTGGCCAACCATAGAAAACACTTTGTTTGTAATCTGTTAATGGAGCTCTTTGTCGGTGATTATAATGCCATTTTTGAAAGTGGTTCTGAACTATCATTAGAAAATAAACCCTTAAGAAGCAGAAAACATAGTGATGGGAATTGTTTGAATGCTGATCCAAAAGCTGTTGTAACATCATATTCTGGTGAATCTGTGGTATGTTTTATGATTGAATACTATTTGTTAAGGAGTTTTTAATTAAGGAACAACTAAAACAGTTGCAAGTAATTTCCCTAAGTTATGAAAAATTACTATCTTTGTCATGCTTTTTGTATATGAAAATAATGAAATGATTTTATTTGTTGTTGTTATAACACTTAGTTTTGGAGTTTGAAGGTAATAAATATCATTAATTTTTGATCATGCAAAGCATGCTTCTTACATAGATCAAAATGAAAAATTAACTCGGTATAATGAATATAACTAATTTAATATACAACTCTCACTTATGATGATCAGAATGCATTGATTCATCATTTGGGTACATTTGCTGTTAGCGATAATTTTGGCCATAATCCTAATAACATCTGAGGTTCAATCAGCTTAGGTTAGTTTTAAATTCATATACCAAACAAGAAATGCAAAGTAATTCTTATAACAAAAATCATACTTATTTATAAAACATTTTGTTTAAGGCATTAATGAAACTAACATCTAATGCTATATAACACAGTGAGTCTGTCTGTCTCACGGTCACACACTGATGTCATAGCAACTTATTACATAATTTAAGTAGATTGGCTTCCTATCAATTAAAACCAAGTAGTCTAAGAGTGATTGAAATTTTAGATATATTTGGACTAAAATGTACAAAAAATTGCACCTTTTTCACAATTTTGAAACGTATCTTTGTTAAATTGTCGAGTTATGCCAGAAAGGACATAAATATACTTCAATAGACATTTTATACAACATACTAAAAGCTTATCAAAGTTTTTAAAAAGGTCCAACATTAGGTTGTAGAATAATATTAGAAGATTATTTATTGATAATATTAAAGGGTAGGGCTTAGCTGTAACTGAACTAAAGCAAAAAATGTACACAAGTTAGTGTTTATTTATCTCTTTAATGAATATAGGCAGTACTTAATAAAGGATTAACTAATGTTAGGACTAAGACAAGTGGACTTGTAGATCTCAGGGTATGAGATTAGAATTCTTTTGTATTACTCTAGAAATCCTGTATTTAAAGAAGTACTGTTGCAAAAAATATACTAATTTGGCTGCAAATGTTTTGTGAGTCAATGCTAGTTAACAAATAAACATAACTTAAAAAAATGCTCTAGTTTACTTCATGCACTATCTTTGATTTCCTGTTGTGTGAAAAGTGTAAAAGTAAACATCATTACAGTTTATACATTGTTTCAATGTTTGATATTTCTTGTAATAACTTAAAAACTTAAAACAAAGTAGAAGCTTCATTTTAGAAATTTGCTTGAAGTTGGTAACCAGTAATTATATAATTTTTTCCTTAAAACTTAGCATTTTTCCTGCTTTATTTTTAATGCTAAAACGTATAGAATTTATTTTATAATTATAAGATGTTTTTTTTACTATCTAACTGGTATTTGTACAAATTTATTCTGAAATTTGCAAATTTTTCCATGCAGTTTAGTATGGGTGAAATGCAACAGAATTTATCTTCCCCTGGTAGCTTGGCAACACGTTTTAGGGCTTGGAACACTAAAATATAGGGTTAAATTCCTTTGGTGAACACAGCAGAGATATCCTGCTGTGTAGTTTTGTACTTAAGCAAACAAACAATAATTCACCAGATACATTTCTAATACCATAGAATTATATTTTGTCTGATCTGAAGTACTGAATTGAACTAAAAGATTGAGACTACAACTTAACCCCAGAATTACCAATGGAGATTCTAATGGGATTTATAAATACTTTTGTTTTGATTATTTTTTTTGCACTAAGTTACTCCTGGGTACATGGGTTTCTTAGGTAGGGAATCCCTAATAACATGAATCCCAAAACACAAAAATATACAATAATCTTAAACATTTCAATTAATCCCATTAATTATTATTGGAGGCCTCTATGTATCTTGCATAGAAAATCAGTGATTATGCCAATGTTTTGAAGTCAGTTCTTTACATTAACTGTTTTAAACAGGCAGAAATATAAAATTACTTAATGATCTGTGAACCCCATCAGTAGTGAATGATATTAAAACAAGCCAATAATTAAAGAGGTAATGTTTTCACTTGCACTAATTACATATTATAAGATGACTGGAAAAATACTATTTGTACATCTTTCATAGGGAAATTTGTGTCCATTAGAAGTTGGTTCTTCAGTCAGTCTTAAGCCATTATCTATTATCATTCCTCCACTGGAGAAGTATGATTTTGATGCTGTTTCAGCAAAAGTACCAACACTTCTTATTGAGTAGTAAGTTGTTTTTTAAAACTTATTTAACTAAAAACTTGTTTCATTTCAAAGATAATAATGTGGTTTATAAAATTTTTTCTACAATATTAAAAAATAAATTAATAATTTAAGTTTTAAAATTTTTATATTTTGCAACAGATAAGAAAATCCAGGTTTTGCAATATGACACGAAGAGGCTTATCAGTTAATGACTCTTAAGTTTCTAAGTGCAAAAACTGTAACCGTAAACAACAAAGTACTCTTAAGTAAAATATTAATGGCAATGAAATCAAAGTACTTATTTCCAATCTACTTGAATTAGTTTTTAGACTTAGAATCATGTAGTTTTAAAAAGACTTTATCGAAGACGAGATCTTTTCTTTTTGCACTCCAACAGACCACTGAAGATTACATATCCATTCAAACCTGGCTGGGTATTGCTTGATAATAATAATAAAAAGAGCTTTATTCAATAGATTATAAAGATAAATTTAGATGTATTATATCCAGTGACTTAAAAAAATAGTAATTACAAATTTTCATGTCACTTATGAACATGAAAACTGCCCTACTTGATACATGTATCTGAAAGTAATATTAGTAGTGCATACCACAACTTCTCTAGTATACTTCAAAATTAATTTATTGCAGTATGATAAAGAATTTAATGGTAATTAATTTTTGGTAAAAATAATTACTAATGCACCATCAGTGGTTTTAATTCTTGCTGCTTGATATGGCAAGTTTGTGGTAAAACATGTAAGGCTTGTGATTTTAGTTTCTTGAACATAAAATAGATAAATTGAATTATTTTTTTAAAGTCTATGTTATGAATAAGTATTGTGATTTTTGACTTATGAGATTATACGTATATATTGTGTGTTTGTACAATGGTTCTATCAGTAGTACTGTGAATTTGTAGTAATTACTGTTTTAATAGATATTTTTCTGTACTTAGATACTAAGAAAAAACTAAAATAAATGTGCTAATTTGAGTTTATGTACTCGCATAATGAGTATGAATAGTTAAGTAATTTACTGATGTTACCACTTGTTTGTTTTTAACATGTAAACTGATAAGAATATAGATACTACAGCTTATATTTGGAGATTTGTTTGATCTGAACAAGAGTGTTGCTTTCAGTAGGCTGGAACAGGAACAGCAGTTGCCATTAAATTGCTATCACGAGACAGCCATTCCTCAACAATGTAAGTGAGATCTATATGGAAAAAATCGTGATATTTCAACAACTGTACTGTTTATTAAATTTAGATGGTTACAATAATATTATTTATTGAATTAAATATCAACATTGTTTATCATGAAAATGACATATTTATGGCTTTGAGTTCTGTTACAAAAACATACTACATGTTATTCTATTGAATAGAGTTGATGGGAGTAGTGTTAAATTGGGTGCTTTTGTGCATAAGTTAGTGAAGTTTATTTTTTCATGTGAATTGAACTTAAATAATGACAATATTTATAATGCTGTTGAATATCATTTCTCAGTTTTTATATTCTGTATATTCCAAGATTAAAAGTTATATTTAGATGCAACAAATTCATTTATTGTAGTTTCAAAGGAATGTAGATTTTTTTTTTTGTCACTTGGTGTTCTTTTTCTTCAGAAAGCAGTCATATATAAAGTAAATGTTTACACACCTTACTGAATTTTACTAATGCCTGACTCAGCCATAATAGTAATTTAGGCTTGGAATCAGTTAAGCCCTCTTTTTTTTTTTTCTAAATACAGTGCAATTGGAGAAAGAAATAAAATAACCTGTATTTCATTGTAGCAAAAATGTTTTAATTTAGTTATGTGGTAAGAAAATGTATCAAAACTAAGAATTTGGGCTTTAAAGTTTTGAAAAGGATTGACTTTACTGTTTGTAATAATTATTAACCATGGGCTGTTAAAAGACCACAAATTTTATTGTTTCTCAACTTCAGCTTTACTCTATCATGGTAGAAAATGTAAGGAGCATAAACCTTCAGAAGAAAACTCTTTGTTGACTCAGTCATGCTGTATAAATCAAGAATCAAATCACAGTGGCATGGTATGGGAGACTTACTGTTTTTGTTTAAATGGCAGCCAGAGTGCAATAAAACCTCCAGATTTCCCATTCAAAGAAAGCAGAGGAGCAAGTGTTCTTATAAGTTTAATTTTTTTTTTAAAGAATCATCGGAAACATACTGAACTATTTATCTGTGTGACATAGGTAATAAATATATTTTAAAGATTATGATTTTGTATAAAAATTGTGTAATCTCAGTCAGTTTGCTTTTATTTTTCAACTTAAACATATTGATACTAGTTTTGCTGTAATCAAGTTTTAAATCATTATATTATGAAATAGCTGTGACAGCTTTCTTTGGGAAGGATAGACAAGTGATAGAGCTTGAAAATATATACTTATAATTCATCTTTAAAAAAAAAAAAGAAATGACCTTTCAAGTTAATTATTTAATTTTTATAAATATTGCGGATGAAAAAGTGGTTGGACCATCTTCATGTTAAACCAACAGCAGAAACGAGTCTCCATTCTCCAGTAGCCAAGCATTAAGAACTTGATTCTTTTTCAGATTCTGGAAAATTTGAAATTCTTCGTTCTCTGAAATTTCAAAGTCAATCAGACTCTCTATTATCAATGCTTGAAAGTCATGAATTCCTAGAAGATCAGTTTAATGTAGGTTTGAGAGAATGAATGATTAATCCTGAACATAAATATAACTTAAGATGAGTTTTTAATGTTTGGATTATTGAAATCTGTGAGAAACTCAATATGGAAGCTATATTTTCATTTATCTTTCTGTACCTTTAAGATTTTCCAGTGTTTTAGTTTTTTAGACATAGCACAATTGTATAAAGATGTGTACTCTGTGCAATAACATTTAAAATATTAACATTGGGAATGATTAAATTTTATACCACTATTTTGTATTTTGGTATGTCACTAATTATAATGTGTTGAATATTTTGAAAGTTAAAGTAACAAACAAATTTGATTTAGTGTATCAGGAAGAGGTTAATGGTTACTTCCCTACTCTACTAAATCAAAATATGTTTGATTAGGCAAAATTAAATTCTGTATTCATTTAAATTGATTGTTTTGAATTTCCCACAAAGCTACGTGAGGGCTATCTGCACTAGCCACCTCTAATTTAGCAGTGAAAGAATAGAGGGAAGGCAGCTAGACATCACCATCAACTCTTGGGCTGTTATTTTACCAACGAATAGTGGGATTGACAGTCACATTATAATGCCCCCACAGCTGAAAGGGTGAGCATGTTTGGTGGGATGGGTATTCAAACCCGCAACCCTCAGATTGCACATTTAAATTGAAACAGTTGCAGAAGATGTTCCAAACACTGAGCTGCACTTGACACATACCTTCTATAGGCTTCTTAGAAATTTGGTACAAGTAAAAATGTAAAATATACTACTTTTTATAAGTGTTAGGTTAGACTTAGTTTTTACTTTTCATTTTCATAAAATAATGTGTGTGTGTGTGTGTGTGTGTGTGTTCTAAAAGAAAATAAATACAATATCTTGTGAAATCTGTTAAACATTTGTTTTAAATGAACATTTTTAGAAATAATTTTATAGTTTTCTATATGGAGCCTTGCTAATTATAGTATTTAGTGTTTGAAAATAAAATGATTATTTCTTATAAGTATACTTTTACATTTTCATGATGAGTGTAATACAAGTGTATTTCATTCTTGATTCTTCTTGTAGTCCAAGCAATATTTGTCTTTCAAGAATATCCATATTGGGGATAATGTAAAGAATAAACAAGAGAATCTTGTAGAAGAAACTTTTGGAAGTCAAGTGGACCCTGATTTTGAAGAAAATATTTCCTCCTTTGATAATTTATTAAAAACGTCAAAAGACTTTGCGACAAAATATAAAGAAAGTAGTGACATTGATAAAGAGAACTTTGAAAGCAATAAACATTTTCGTACTGAGAGATATCACATGTCAAGTCCCAAGTGTAAAGGTGGTTTTGACCGGTATGTTCAATGTGGGAATTGGTTCACTTCATGTCACCAAGGTGTGGATAAAGTTCCTGTTCTTCATTCTGCTAGTAAATTTTCTTATCCATTATTAGAACTACATCCCACTAGTAGTGAGGACACAAATCATAGCAGTGAAGAAGATACGAGTAATGAAAACAGTATCCCCTTTTTTGACTTTACATTTTCACATGATCACGACGATTTTCATGGTATGTTTGTTTAAAATGACTCTGAAAATTAATGTTAAAAGTAGGATTTTTCTTAATCTGTCCTCTCATTTATGGTCAACTCTTGGGATTAGCGAAATTACTTATTGTGGGTGTGGTTGTATTTTTTTTTTTTTACCTTACAATTTAGCTTTTTCTTCTATATAAAAAAAAGTTTGACTTGCTCTGAGATTTTCTTGCAATATTTTTGCAGCATTCAACAAAGAACTATATTATTAAAAATAGAGATAACATATTGATGTTAATCACTCAAAAGTAATGTAGTTTTTATATTGCCAATTTTTCTGGAATAGAGAAAATACATAAAAAAAGGCTACCAAAATAGGAGTATTACAAAAGTGGAAATATTGTTATAAAATTTGAAGAATTCATTAGCATAGTTTCTAGCGGTGTCCTCAGTTCTCTCAAAAATGAATGTTAATGTACTTTTAAACAATTGTATTATGCTTGAACTATGTCTGTTTAAAAGTTTGAGCCACACATTTATTCAGGAAGTTGAGGAAGGCATTAAAACTTGATATTGGGTATTTCAGCATACAAATAACCAAAATATGTCAACAAAAAAAATCCCCTCCCCCCACATACTTGTGGATAGGTGAAAATAAATAAATTTAAAATAATTATATGTAACTCACCTGTATAAACTAATAGTTTGTTATAAGTAACATAATAAATATACCAATTAGTATAAAAAATTTAAATTGTGAAATTTTGGGTATTTAATAAATGTTAGTTACATCTCATTACAGGTTAGTTGTCTAATTGATGTTAAATGCATCGAACCCATAGGGTTACCATAATGTTTTTAATTAAAAAAAACACTTAAAACAATTATTTCCATGAAATTTGATAAGTTAATTGCAAATTGGATGTGATTATTCAGGCTAAGTAAAATGAGAGCCCAAACACTTCAGGTACATAGTAAATAGACAATATGTTTGTGCTATTTTTGTTTTTTCCAGAACCCATTCTTTCTGAACATCGACACAGTTGGCCATTTACAAGGAGTGATTTAGAAGATCCTATGCTTTCTCCATCATTTTATCATTTGAAAAGAGCAAAGTAAGCATTAAACATTGATTATAAATAAGAATGTTTTTTTTTGTCTTTCATGTGCAAAATGTGTAACTGGTTTTATATTATGATAAACACAGGTTGCTTTATAGAATAAATTTGTCATCTGTTGATGGTCAGGTTTTGTTTTTCAGCAGAGTAAAATATTTTTTTTTGTTACTGTGTAATTCCATAAAAGTATAATCATTAAAGTATTTTTATCACTTTTTATTATATGGTAATTTAAAGTTAGTATATCGTGGAATCATTTTTATATACATATGAAATTGGGAAAATGCAAACCACTTTTGAGAATTTCAATCATTATGCAGAACATTTTCGTATAAAAAAAAGCTAATCAAAATTCCTCAACAAAATCAGCTGTAAAGGAGGTATCTTCTATATTTCATGTAATAAAATTAATTAAATGTAGAATGTTATAATATGAAAATTGTAGCATTAATTAAAATACATATGAAAATTCATAGCCTAGAATTTTTAGACCTGAGCAATTGAATCAATATAATTGGTTGCCTATGGTTAACTGCACCGATTAGTGTCCTGTAAACTAATATATTATTAATGTTTTTGATTATTACAACAGTCATTTAATGAAAATTACAAAGGTCTTGGGTTAGATTCCCATTGCTACCAAACTTGCTTGTCCTGCCTTTGTTATGATAAAGCTACTAAGACTGTCTTCCACTGTCACTAGTTTTGAACTGCTAAATAGAGGAAAGGCAATTAAGTGGCAGCACCCATTGTCAATCTTTCTTTTTTTTGTTTTCTTTCTTGAACATTTGACTAAAGAACAGGAAACTAACTGGCAGGATAAATTTTTTCAGAGGGGAGATAAGTAGTGTGAAATTGTGAAGTGAATAAAAAATTCATATACACATACTGAATAAATAAAGAAAACAATTTTCTCCTTTTCCTGGGGAGCAGTCCTGCACACCCACCCCCTGCAGATGCCCATGGCTGGCAGTACCTACTGCCAACTTTTTCTTTCTTTTTTGAACTGCTGACTACAAGGAAGGCAACTATCTGACAGTACCTAATGCTAATTTGTTTTCTTGTATGTACTGTGAATTGAGGAGCTCTATACAAAACAGATGTAATCAATTAATGAAGTTGTCAATTAATTGATTAACAAATACCACTACTTGCCCAAACCTGATAAAATATACTTGCTTAAAAGTTAATCCTTCATGTGGTTTTATATTGTGAGTGGACAGGAGGTAAATCCTGATCATATGTGGAAGTATTTACTTTGATTAAAAGTAAGTTAACATTATGGATCATAACTAATAGTCAACAGTTAATGAACCAGTGAACCAGTTTCATGAAACAAGTTGGTAAGAAGTACATAATGCTACAAAACAAGAAAATTGAAACATGTAATAGATATAATGCAATGAAAAATCTTTTGGATACCCTTGCTATTAACAATATTTTTGGCTTTATGCTTAATAATATATTTTATAAGACTTAGCCAGTTTAAGTGATTTAGGTTAATCCTAAATCCATTTACTAAGCTAACAATGTAAACAATATTCATATAAATATGAATAATAAAAATATTTAAAAGTATTTTGAACATTATAACCAATAGTATTAATGAAACTAACTTTAGAAAAAAAAAAGTATTATGTCATTACTTACAATAAAACACATGAGAATATTGATCATTTACTATGAAGATTTACATACAACTTACTAATGCGTGAAACCTCAATATGATACTTGTAAAGATTCGTGTACTTGTAGATGTGTAAATTGAACAAAAAAGCTAATCAAGTATACAAAAAAATGGGTTAAAATCTGTAAACGATATAACTGTGGAAAATTATACTCGTGTTCAGTAACTTATGTTTTAGGAAAGCATGACAATAACATAAGCAAATTTATATAATTCTTTGAAACAGCAAAATGTGACAATTGAAACTAAATTTTCAACCCAACAGTGTAATTTTATTTAGTCTTATATATAACAACAACAAAGCTCAGTCTTGTAACCTTTTAGCTATAAAGTTGGTAGTACAGAAAGTAAAATTTTTATGTATATATCCATAAAGTAAGTAGTAAATTAGAAAAAAAGGTCCAGTAAATTGTGAACTATAAATTTTGTAATTAAATTTGTCAAAATAATTGAGTGAAGAGTTCTTATGAGTAAGGTTTATAAATAATTTGTCAGATGAAAATGCCACTCCGACCACATATACACAAGTTCAGTTGATGAGTGAGCAGGTAAATGTTATAAGTAAATAAAATAATCAAATCTTAAGAACTAGCTGAAGTAGTGTTAGATAAGGTGTTTTAATAAAGAAACATGTTTTTTTAAAATTGTTTTCATAACAATTGTGTGATTACACTCTAATTTGCATTCAAAGTATAAATGACTTTAGTAGTTTTTAGAAATTAGAAAAATTATTAAACCATTTTTATGGCAAATTATCAGTAATTCAACTATTTATAAATCAAACAAATAAGAATATCTTTTTTAATTTTTTGGTAAAAGAACTTTGGTTACATTTCAAAGATTTGTTTAAGGAAGTCAGTCATTCTTAGTTTTCCAAATCATAAATAAGATATGTTTTATTCCAGTTCATGTGAAGCATCTCTGTCTCCAAGTGCTGGCATCTATCTGCCATATCTAGGGTAAGCATAAGTTTCAGCATATCCTTTGTTTTAATCTTGGTAATAAACCCTATAGTTTAGAGTTAATATTATAAAATGCACATTTTCTATATTGAAAGGTGACTATAAGTATTTTTGTATAATAATAACTTTCACCTTGTTAATGTTGGAGATTTATTAAAACAATAAAAATGTATGTGCATATATATGATATAAATAAATTAATGTAATTGATAGATTTATTATGAGTGTTGTTACTCATGAACTTTAATATATAAAATGTCTGAAAAGCAACAAATATTTGTTCAAATACATGTTTGTAAAATTGTCTAATATTAGTCAAGGGTGACTGAAATATGGCAACATACCAAAAACTTTTGAAACTATGTAAGTCTAGTGACATTTATTTAAAATATTTGAGAAAGCACAACAATCAGTATTAATCTTTTAAATTTATTTGCACGATTGTTCTAAATGTTATTGGTTTTTTTTCTCCTTATGCACATTTTTGTTGTTGTTGTTTCTGTATGAACTGATTATTAAAGTTGTGATGTTCTTCAGTTAAACATTTTCTTGCAACAGGCAACTTAGTGACAAATTTCTTAAACATATGCATTATTCTCTCTAAAATATATTGTCTTTTCTATATTTGAGTATCGTGTATGGAGAGTCTTTATCTTTGCTGTATATCAGATCTCTGGATCCTAATGTACCTCCCTCTTCACCTAAGGAGCAACATACTTTTGAAAAAAGGTATAATAATAAAATTTGAATGCATATTAACTTGGAAATGTTTTTTTCTATATTGGAAGAGACTCAACATTCAAACTATTGTATTGAAAGAAAGTTGACTTCAAAAATGCTTGTTTGACTCGACAAATAATTATTTTTAATGTTTCACAAATACCTACTTTTCTTACTTAACAAAGGGTGATCTGTTTTACGGTAGAAAATAAATCATAATGACTATTAATTTCACATGATTGTTCAAGCTGTAAAAATAAATCCATAATATTGCTTCGATTGGACGTTTTTACTGTACAGAAATTTTGAACTACATGTGTTTTTGTTTTTTGCAATTTTCCAGGGTACACAGAAAGAAAGACAATATCTCATTTTCAATTAAACAACTGACAAAAAAGATACACAGTAAGTGAATTAAATTACTTTTCTTATGGAGAAGATATTCTTCTTTGTAGTTAATTACAGTTTTGAGTTGTTTTTTTTTGCATATGCTTACAAAGTTGTAATCTTGGTTTCTGTGTATAATTAAAATATTTGTGAAAAAAAAAGTTGTGAAAAGTTTTTGTAATTAAATCAAATGTGGCACTGAAAAGATTAATAAGCTTTCATGAGTGTATACTTTTGAATGATGTGGCAGAACTGGCAAAAGGTCATAGATGAGAAGGGAGTTCTAGGATGTTAAGAGGACTTTTCTATTTTTCCTTTACTCTTTTTATTTTGTATTGTCCATTTACTTGAAATATGTATCTATATATACATGCTTCAGCACATGTTACTTACACAAATAGTAAAAAGTGTGTGCTCAATATACTTTCTTATGTTTAACATTTAAATGTAGTTACACTTGCTAACTGTTTCCTTATAAGACACTTGTTTATCAGTAACTATAACTCGGTTTCACCAAAAAGAAGCTGTAAACATTTTATCTCTGGTAGATATTATTGTAAAAAGGTGAAACAAAAGAAGAAGAAAACTTATACCACAAAATATGGCTAATATTAAATAGACATTTTAATGTTCGCAATGTTTCAGGCTAGAACTCCCTTTCTCTGGTGATTTTTAAACTTTAATGGAACAAAAAAAACCAAATTCACCAGAGGAAGGGTGTCCCAGCCTGAAGCATTGTAGGCATTGGAATATGTACTTAATGCTAGCCATTTTTTTATGGTATAAGTTTTTCTCCATCTTTTATTCCATGTACCACATGTCTTTAGCTAATTTGTAAAAAATGTAGTTTGTTTTTTATATATATATATATATATATATATTCAGAACTGTTGTTTTGTTAGTTTATTTGTTCTTGTTTAGAAACTGGAAATAAACTTATGAATTGACAGTTGATGTATTTCATAAGAATCATAAGTGATTTTGAGAACTGTAGTTTACATGATAACAAATCTTTTTAACAAAATTAGTTTTGCAATGTAAGAAATTTTAGTTAGTAGTCAAAAAAATTGACCTTTTTAGATCTAAAGAAGAAAATCCGACATTTTGAAGAAACCTTTGAAGCAGATCACTGTTTTAGAGTGAGTATATTAGTGCAAATTTTGGTGTTCATGAACAGAACAAAGTCTGAACTCTGCTGTTATATATTGGCATAGAATATGCATTACCTGTAAAAACTTGAGTATAAGCCATTGCCCATTTAATATATCCCACAATAGTACATTATTGAAATATCAGTTTTGCCACACAGATAATGCACTTGAATCTTACACTGTTACAGACTATTTTGCCCCTCCCCATTCTGGTGCCCAGTGGTACGTCTGCAGACTTACAATGCTAGAATAATTATAACCATTGTAGAGGGAAGAGCATAGATAGCCCATTGTGTAGCTATGTGCTTGAAATTAAATTTGAATTAAAATTTCTGTTTGAATCTAATTATTCATATTTATTTTTCAACAGCCCTCTCTTGTTGACAAAATGAAGGATTATGAAGTGAAAAAGATGATAACAGAACTCGCCAAGGTCCGAAAAGAACTAAAGGGTTAGTAAAAGGATTTTTTTTTAACTGTTCACTATTAAGAAAAGTTTTATTTGATAATTATCATAATGTACCTGTATAAGTGAGTGTTTGCAGGTATTAAGTTTTAAAATATGCATAATTGTTTTAATCCATTTTTTTTTATCACAAATTCGAAATTATTCATCTAACATTTATTTTCTTAAGTACTATTGTTTATTTTAGAGAGGAACATGTGAAACAGGTTTGCATTGCAATAAATTTTATTACATTAGAAGTGTGTGTGAGTTTGTATGTGTGTGTGAAGCAGTGAATATCAGTAATCAATATATAATTCTGATGTTATCAGTATTATGCATTCAATACATTTATTATCAGAAAAATAGACTAATTCCAATATTTGAAACTAATCGCTCATTGTGGAGAAAAGGAGTATTTGTATTTTTTGTTGACTTATTATGTTTAATTTTAAACCATTTAAGTGCTAGGTTATTACACACCTTTAAATCTTTTCGGCTATTAAAATTGTAAAAATATATTAAACTTGTTTCCGTAGATTTGAAGGAAGAACAGCAGTTGGAACAAGATTGCAGTGACTCTATATCCACAGATTTTATTATGAAAAGCTGGAATGTGGGTCATGGTGACTGGTCAGATGAAAGTTGTAAACATTCAATAGAAAAATTTCTAGATAAAACCATGACAAATTTGTTGGATGATAAATGTTCCGTCAACAGACCAGATGCTATTGAAGTAAATAGTAGCTCTGTGTGTGTATGTATTTATAATATTTATTTTATTTATTTACAAGTTCACTTAAGCATGTAAGTGATATAACAAAATGGTCTTAAGCTCAAGGGTAAATCTTTTATTTCAGTAGTCAATCTATTTTCTAAGTGCTTTTTTTAAAGATTTAAGATATCTGCTGAAAGCTGTATTAATTTGTAAAAATTTAGTCATTGTTGACTGAAGAGTAACTGGGATGCTGCAAAAGTAACCTTATTGAAATTAAACTTTAATCTAGTGCTCATGTGCTATTATTTTAATACACACCCATGTGTATACTTCTCTAGCATGTTTAATATATCTAATTTTATTACTTTTTAATTTTGTTTATTATTTTATTATACATTGTTTTGCATTGTTAGGTTAATATATGCACTTAAGACTAACCTAAATATCTTAAGCTGGCAGAATCTTGTGAGGTATTAGGATTTGACCCGATAATATTGTTATGATAAATATAATCCATTAGTTTAAATTCAGCTTATACTATATAGATATAAGTAGGTTATAATATAAATCAGGCTAAAGTAAATATGTTTTATTATTAATGTTACGTATATTGTTCTAATAAATTAAGTTCTATATAATTAAATATAAACTATTAGTTTAGTGTGAAGACAAAGTAGTGATAAAAATTTTTTTATAATTGGTTCTTAAACGTTAGGCTTAACAGTAAGCTATTGGTATTTGGTACTGAGTATTATTTTCACTTTCAGGCTATAACAGTATAAATACAATGGTTAAGACTAGGGTAGGGTAAAGCGTTCATAGTTTGTTAGGTGTAATTGGTGCAAAGAGTGGGTTTTATTTGGGAACTCAGGGGACTGGAATCTACTTTTAAGGAAGCTAGTAATGAAGATGTACAATTTTTTTATGTAGAGTTTGTAGGTTGGAGGAGAAGTTAAAGACAATCATGATTAAAGTAGATGCAATAGATAAAGAGAAGTGTAGATTGTGGGAAATGGCAGCAGGATTTCAGGAGTAGTTTAAGGTTTTATGTGCAAGGGATACATCAGCTAAAAATGACTAAGGGAGTTAGAAAGAGTACTGTTAAGGCTAAAAGTGGTGAATTTAGTTATAATGAGCCTATTCTATTGAGCAATAAAGTTCAGCCCTTGGCTTCTGCAGATGGGGAACTATTGGAGGGAAGGAAAAGAAAAGGGTCAGATAAGAAGGTTATAGTAATAGGTGGTTCCTTGATAAGGCATGTGGATAGAATAGTCTGTTTATGCTTCCCAGGGGCACAGGTGGAGGATATAAATGACAGAGCAAGAGATGTAACAAGGGGGGCTAGCAGAGACCTAGTTTTTGTAGTGCATGTAGAGACTAATGATGTAGGGAAAGGTAGGTCAGAAGAGCAAATTAATAAATATAAGGGGTTGATAAAGGCACATAAAGAAAATGGCCATAATTTAAATTTTGTCAGTGATAATGCCTAGAATTAACTGTGGGGATGAAGTTATAAGTAGGTCATTAGGGCTAAATACTAGGCTTAGGTTAGTATGTAAGGATGAGCAGATTGGCTGGTTGGACTTGTGGGATCAGTTCAGTGGGAGCTTTTTGCATTGGATGGTTTACATTTAAATAGAGTAGGGGCTAGCTTGTTTGATAAGGCTATTAACTCAGCTGTAAGGGAAGTTTTAAACTAGGACTAAACAGTGGTGAGGGCCAGGAAAAACTGAATGCAAAAAGAAAAAGAGGCAGAGAAAAGTTTAGCATAGGAAATGAGTATAGAAGTAGTTATAAGGATAGGCTTAATTGTTACTGTTGTAATGCTAGAAGTATAAGAAATAAAATAGATGACTAGAGCACTGGTAGGAACCGAGGATTTTGATATAATGGGAATAACTGAAACATGGTTAAACATAGATGACTTTGATGACAGAATTTTTTTGAAATACAGAGTTACAGGTTATTTAATAGGGATGAGTATTAAAGAGGGGAGGAGGAGGAGTGGCTTTATATGTAAAATATGAGTTGCATCCTGTTGAAGTTGAGGATATCAAAGAGATTGAATCCATTTGGGTTTCTATTAGTGGATATAAAGGAAAAAGGCTTTTAGTTGGAACTTGTTACAGACCACCAAATGATACTGATGAAATTAGTAGAAACTTTTCAGTGAAATTAAGATTTCAGCTGTTAATAAAGTCATAATTATAGGTGATTTTAATTTCAGGCATATATATTGGGAAATTCTAGAATCAGACCATGAGGGAGAAAGGTTTTTGAAAACTGTTCAGGATGACTTTCTTCACCAGTTAGTCAAGGAACCCACTAGAAACGATGCTATTTTAGACTTATTGTTAACTTCAAATATGCCCCCCAGTGACACAGCGGTATGTCTGCAGACTTAAAATGCTAGAAACCGGGTTTCGATACCCGTGGTGGGCAAAGCACAG